GGCTGAACCACTGCCAGACCTGTGAGGTCACTGAAGCTGGTGGGACTGGCCAGTGCCTGATTTGTTGCCTTAACTGTAGAGCCTGAAGGACTTGCAAGGAGTTCACTGGAGGGGTTGAGAGCTGGTGTGGGGAGTCCTGGTTCTGTGGTGTGCGTACGTGACTGTGCTGACATTCGTGTTCATCTCACGTGTGCATTCAAACACACTTGTGTGTGCCTGTGGTAATTCACATGCACTTGTGGGTGTCCACATGGTCCCTGTGTGTGTGCATTTGGACAGGTTTGTCCATGAGTGTGTATGTGTTTTAGCACACGCACCTGCCTTCATATAGGACAGCAGGGATATGCGTGACTGGACTGCATAGACTTAATTTTGTGGGCACAGGTCTGTGTAGATGTGTGATTGTGTGTATGTACATCTCTGTAGAGGAACGTGCATTTGTGTCGGACAAAGTGTCTGTGTACGCCCAGGTGTTTTAATAAGTGTGCATATGGGCATTCATGTGTGTGCAGCCATGAGGGTAAGTAAAAGGTCTTGCTAGAGTCAAGGAACACTCCATCCATTGCCCCTCCCCTTCCCCACATGCCAGTCACCTCCTCACAGAAAGCAATGAGGTTGGTCAGGTGTGATTACCCATCAGTAAACCCATGTGAGCTGCTCCCAATCCCCTTCTTGCCTTTCATGAGTCCAGCTGCACCTTCCTTCCGGGGACTGAGAAAAACCTGTCCTGTCCAGTCAGGTGTCAGGGAAGATGGATGTGACTGTGGTTATTCACAGTGGTCAAGAATAATAAATCATCATAAATGCAGCAGCTCATGTGTTTGTTACTTGTTCTTTACCAGGCAGCTTAGCTTCCCATGTATTAGTGAGAAGAACACAAGGCATTCATTTCATAAGGTTTCTGAATATTTAAGACCAAGTCTGCATAAATCGAGATCACAAATGGAAAGAAAATATCATATCTCAGCATGCAGAGCTTTGGATGCACAGGGAGAAGCAGCACTGCCAGGAGACAGTTGAGGGCCCCTTCCCCAAACCCTGCCTCACACCACAGACACATCCCCTGCCTCCCCTGGGTTGTTGCACAGCCAAAGAAGCTCCCTGCACCAGCGTGTCTTGCACAGCACAGAGGTACAAGGCGCTGTCAGAGAGCTGGGCTTCCTGCAGCTGCAGGAGGCTGTATTTCCCCGTGGTGTTCAGAAACGTGGTGAAACGGCCGCTCGGCTTGGAGCCAGCTACTGCCTGAAATGAGATCTGTGGCCTTTCTTCAGCTGGTACCAGAGCAAGCCTGGAGGGTAGGAGCTCTGGTATGTGCAGGTTATTTGGAAGGTGTTACCCTGTTTCATCGTGACTTGTGCTTCTTGCTGAGTGACAGTGACTTGCCCCATGGTACCTGGAAGAAAAAGAAGGTCAGCAGCTGTGCATGGAAAGGTTCCTGGGAAGTAAAACAGGACTGGATGCAAAACCCAGGTGAAGGAGGCTTGCTAGCCCATGGAACTGTGACAAAAATATTAATTGTATTTCCCCATCCCAGTCATCTCAGAGGACTCCTTGAGCACAGTCAAAGCTCATGTTGGAAAGAGGCATGCATGGCTGACTTCACATTAGTGGGAGCTAGAGCTTTAAAATACCTGTGGAACCTCCGGGAGGATCTGCTTGTTTTGTGGAAAAATGTGAAACTGCAGGGTCAGCTGAGATGTGCTGTGGTGCAGCAGGTGGATCAGGAGAGAGATGTCAAAAGCAAAAAAAGAAGGGGAGAGAAAAGCAAGAGAAAGCGTCTGACATAACCCTTCTCTCTCTTCTCCTTTCCTTCCAAAGAGTAAGAGCACCTTGAGAGATCAGTGCCAAACCACAAACATGAGACAACAGTTGCCAGTGGTTTTACTCTCCTGTTCAAGAGAATTTCCCTGATAAGGTTGGTGAAGGTTTCCTTGGAGGAAGAAAAGGGATGCACTGGTGAAAAGGCAGGACTTACCCAGCAGTTGCCCCAGGAAGACAGGGAGGATGAGATGTCTGAGGTGCATGTTGAGACCAAGCTGTCTGTTGAGTGAGAGAGAGTCTGAAAAGCACCTCCCAGGACTGAGATAGTAGAGCTGCTGAAAACGACTCTGTTGGGGGAGGAAAGGAAGAAGCGTTAAAGAGAAACCTGTTCTTCCTGTTTGAAGTTCTTCTACTGGCTTTTTCCCT